GCAAAATCACAAATCATCTTTTTGCCTAATTCTCTGCATGTCTGGCGGCCATCTTCCTTCGAAAGATCCCTGAGTTGGTCCTCGTCCATTTCGACTGGTCTTGCGGAACCAGGAGCGTCGTTGAGGTCGAAATTATCGTGTTTGAACCTGGCAAACCAATCCCGAGCAGTTCTCTCAGCTACAGCGTCTTCTCTCTACACGGCACCAACATCTCTGGTAGCTTCACTCGCTTTTTGACCTCGATTAAAGGCGAAAAGAAGGACGGTGCGAAGATACAAAACATGATATAGACAAAAACGCTTATTTTAATCTTGTAGAGCATAACACGGGCTTTCTGATGGTATATAACACCTAATCAAATATCTTTGTAGTATCAATAGTTTAATGTAACGGCGAGAACTTATAAAACAGCCTAATACATTTAGTGGGGTCGTATACGCCCAGAGAATATAGTGCAGTTTGTTGAATAACATTGTGATTCATATAGCCTGGGCCAACTCTGAACCCCAATCTGATTTTCACACGTTTTTATGCGGTATATATATATATATATATTGATTAGTGGTCATATATTTCCTAAAGTTTTACAAAACCATCTCTTTTTTACTCGGTGAGTACATACCAGTTCGGATTTGAGATTGTTCACCTTTGTCTGATTTGATGGTGTTTTGATAGCTTAAAAACCGAAGGGAAATAGCACTCTCTGAAACTAGGGGACATTAATGCACTAATTCTGGCGTCCCGGTCTCGTTCTGTATAAACTATTTTTAATGCATCACCACGACATCATCATCTATATCTGCCTATTAAAAGATAGAAAATGCTGTGGCATCTGCTTCCAGGTTGCCTACCTTGGGGTGATGGACACCGTAGTCTCGAGGGGTCAAATTCTGTACAATCTTCCGAGAAAGAATATTGTACACATCGAATAGTCTGCCGTCCATTGCAGTATGAATTTTTTAGATTTATTTTACGTGTGTTGAACAAACTCATGCGACATCACCCTCATTTTGGAAATACACTTCAGCTTCGATTACTTTGATACGATACATGTCAATCGAAAGCTGCGGGTGAAGTGTATTTATTCCTGACTTTATCTCCCACTTCCATGACCATAGTTCTCTTCTATCACTGTTTGAATTTGCGCTTCCCCCGAGTGTCGCGATAAAATTTATAGTAGTTCGATTGTTACAACTCAGATTTGGAAAATATTTTATGCAAAACAGCATGGAAATTCATTCTTTCTAATAAATGATTCCTGTTTCATGAGAGCATTTATTAAGTTGAAGACATTCTAAATAGCTTGTCTTTTCATTCAGTGCACAGCCAATAAGACAATTGGTGAAAATTTTCTGACTTAACTAAATTGATGTTTGGCTACAAATTACTCACTCATTATCCCTAACAATGAAAGAACTAAAATTGTAATCCAGGAGACGTACAAGTTGACCTTGTCGTGAGCGGCTCGTTAAGTAAGCATTTTGTTGTGTCACCATACCCAAACCGGATGAAACATTAAAAAGTTTTTGGTATATGATTGAAGCCGAGAGCCACATAAATTCGATTACCCATTTCCTGGCTTGCACAAGCCCAAGTTATTGCACAGTCAGCTGAATTTCTCCATCAAGACATAAACCAAGAGGAAGAAAACCGATCATATTGAAGCAAGACAATGGTTGTATTTGATCGTAGCTGAGAAAAGTTGCACACAACCAATATGGCGAATAATCCGGGAGGATTAGCCGTTTTCTCATCACACCGCCGTTTGGAAAATGATGGTTCAATTTGAAATGCAGCTGACGCCACCTAATACGAAGCCGTTATGGAACGCCTAACAGAGCAGAGCACGAACTGATTTTGCCATCGAATTCAAATCGCGTCTTCCGTCCATTCGGAAGTCATATTTTTCACAGTTGAATGTTAGTATATCTTGAAGTTAGTAGTAGAAAACGATTACATCTCATTGAATATTATGTTTTTCACATCTCTGCCGTTTCTGGAAGGTTCAATTCCAAGGTCAAATTAACTTTTTTACTGCTCAGCAGTTGGGATTTGAATGTAACCGAAAAATTTCCCGTGTTAGAGATGGGGATAGGTAAGCTGCCTCGACAGTGGTCGTCAGTGTTTAGGGTGTGATATTCAATAAAGGAAACCGGCAAATTCTGTTGGATAGTCAACTTGGTGGACTTCATGCAAAAGCGACTGCGTCCAGTGGTGAAAAAATAAATGAGGCAAATAAAACACGGACGAGATGAAAGTACAATACCCGTATCAAGTCCATGGATCATTCCGATAAATAAATTCTATTTGTGTTTCTTATTATAGCTTTTTTACTTTACAACTGATGCGCCAGCAACCGTCGTCAAAATCGAGAAATCGTATATTTTATTGGCCTTCCGCTAAGAGAAGCAAAGACATAAGTGGATATTATATCAGATACATTGCGTCTGATGTGGAATAGTAATATAATAAATCCCACGAATGAGGCTCGAAACAATAAGCGATAGGAGGAACAAATGTGATTAAAGTCAGGGTATTGCACGAATTTGGTCAATACCTGTACATTCGTTTATTGTTTATATAACGGAATCAACGATTTTCAGGAAAGAAAAATGAGCCAATCAAAAGGTTACCCAGTAGTGACTGTTTCCATGTATTCAGTTTTGTCTATTTGAAGAAGGTCGGAAGATATTTATTCGATATAGTGCAGGTAACGGTTTTTCCTGACCGAAATATGGGTTGTAAATTTCCAACATTCCGAATTTGTAGAATTTTGTGACAACTTTTTCAAGTCGAAAACAATCTCCGTGTAACGAAAACGCTCCTTATTTTAGAATCGAATAAAATGAACATTGCTAGCATCAATTTCGGTTAATTTATAACTGACCTCATTTATCATGTTTTTCTCCTGGACAGATGTTCCCAATCATCCGGGTTATTGTGTGCCGTTGGCACCGCCTCCTCTGCGTCGCGCTGCAAGTATCGGGGAATCTGCGTGGATTGGTGAATCAATGAGTTACACACCGTATGCACCGCCACCACCTGTTGCATATCCAAATCAAATACCTGCTGCATCTGAACTGTCCTACCACCCCAACACTCCGCTCAATCCGGCCCAACGGGGCTACTTGTCTTGTCGCTTGCAAGAGGAACGAGCCAGATTCGCTATGCTGCAGGCCCAATTCTCCAAGCAGCTGTCAGATACCTGGGCATGTTTGCAAGTCACTCGTTCTCCGGGATGTATCAAACCTCCACCGGACCTCTATGGGGACTCGCCATTACGCAACACTTCTTTGAATCAGTAGGTGATAATGATTTTTCCTTTTTTTCAGAATCTCATCTATCCTCTTTTAACATTTGTAAATTAAACATAAATAATGGATTTTGTACGCTGTTTACTAACTGCGTCGCTGTTGTCTGTCAGGTTTCCTTATCAAAATTTGGATTCCTATATTAGTTTCCTAAACTAAAACCTGTTTTTGCATTTCATTCCGGTCCCAGTGCACACGTGCATTTCGTTGTTTCCTGTTCTGTGCACCTTTTCAGTATTGTCCATCACTCTTGAGAGCGTACTCCTGACTGTCAACAAGAACTCACCAAAATATGAAGCAACCACGAAGCAGGCCATCCTCTGGTATTTGGTCTCGCAGAGCGTTCACAGGCGCTTGCGTGATTCATCATAGTAAAGTCTGGGGAACACTAACGATCATTTCTGCTTTGTATAGGCACGTGGTCGGCCATGCCTCAAACGGACCTTTTTCAGGGGCTGATAATCAAATGCATTGCCTCGGATCTGGTGCAAATAATCGGTTTTTTTTGTTTATTACTTGACGTTTGAAAATTGCACTGCGGTTAGCTGATTGGGTTATATGATCCGGCTTTATGATACACCTTACCAAAGTAGTTAGAATCATTTGAGAGGTCAGTACTCCAGTCTCAAACCAGCATGTGTTTTTGTTGTTTTCGTTTTCAAGTGACAAATAACTTTGACTATCTTTTTACTTTATTTTTTATTTATTCAATATAAAAATGCACAATCAACTTTCAGGAAGGGGCAGAGGTGGAGCGGTTCGAATCCCGGGGCGTCCGGGTGAATATTTTGATGACATTAGTCATTTGACCACCACCGCCCGCATGTTGCGTGTTACTTGATGCGCTCAAATAGTTGTGCTGTCTTACGCCTTGGCTAAATGGTTGCGCAGGGGTTTTTTAATTGGTAGATGGTTGTTGACATGTTCGATCGGCCGCTTATCTCTGTTTTGGTGCTCAATTTCTGGTGGTCCCGAGAATACTTATTTAAGCTTGGTATAGTTGAACGTTGTCCTCCCGTTGACCGACAAAACTCGACTGGCCATTTCCGTCTCTTCACCTGTGAATGAGATTTAGTTGAACTAGGTTTTTCATGCCTACGCCAGCTACCAGCCTTGTTTTCATTCACCGTGAATTGACGGAGCAGTCTGTACAATGGAAGAACGAAAATGTTGGTAACGAAATTCACTCGGTTTCACAGGTTTTTTCACGAATTGCGTTATCTGTTCAGCTCTAACTGATTTAGGAAAAACGAAAATATGTTACGTTAGGCTTTGCTGTCGCTTGATCAATACTGTGGGTGATATAAAGCTGTTGCTTTCTGGTTAGTTTTAAATGGTGATTCGTGACTCGGTTATCCTATTCATCTTATTTTCAATGCTCACTGAATTGTTTTGATCATAATAAAGGGCGTAAGTGTTGCGCCGACTCATAATCGAGACTCTCTTCAAAAAGCAACGGTACCGTTAATCGTATCTACATTCGGTGCTTCCAAATGTGAAAACCGATGGATTTGATCAGTCACTATCACAGATTAAAATCTTGTTGTAATCTCCGCATGCAAGAGTTTTGCTGTCCAACAATTATTACAATTAGCAAATTACCCGACCTGTATGATTCTGTTGGAGCTGTCCGTGTGGTGGAAGGATGTACACCTAATTTCGTCTGCCATCGATTGGTACCTTTCGCCCTCTGATTTACATTGTGGTGATGACCAAAATATGATTAGAACTGGGTACACGCCCGAATGAAAGAGGGCAGATCCGGAATTGAGTGTTGTCCAGCCAAATCGCTTCAGATGATTTATTTTTCAGCTCACCCCGCCATCTTGCTTCCCATTTTGCTGTCTAGTGTTCTGTGAGTTTCCTAGTTGTTCGTGTTTTTTCTAACGAACCCTACCTCGCACGGTTCCAAATGTGAGTGGTAGCAAATGTTCGTTTCCACGCTTCGGCATCCACCGTGCTGCTGATGCCACTGTGTATGTGGTTTTTTCAGCCCCGCCGTCCCTTTTTCTCTACCTGAATATTTTTCTGATTGGTTTCTACTGCTGTCCATGGGGGCTTTTTATGACAAGTGACAATGATGTATACTAAATAGTTACGAGTTCAGAACAAAGATGTCGCACTGAACAAAATGTGAACAGGGCTTGATCTTTTGATCAAATAGTTTCAATGCAGATTACTGGCTGATTTTGTGGCAGATATCGAATATCTACTCAAAATCAATAATCGCCTGTCTGTTTTAGCGTCCACAAATCAGTTGTAAGCTCGCGTTCTTAGTCTTTGTCTCATCTTCTGAAGTCTTCCATTGTTACATCTAATGAGAATGACCACAGTGAAAATAATAATCCTGTTTTTTTTTCATTTGGTTTCAACAAATGCGGAACCGCGGTTTGGATATGACCATTAGAACAGTACGAAGTCAATATGGACAGTAAGCGTGATGAATGGACTGTTAAGTTTGGATTATACCGATCGACGACCGTGCATTCATATGGAGCACGGAGATATCCCCGTGAAATATTTTCACCAATGCTTCGAGTTGTTTCGACCATTATTTAGTCGATGAGTCATTCATCAAAGTGGTGACGAGTTCCGTAATGTTTACGATCTTTCTTTATACTTACTGCTCCGATAGCGGACCATATCAGTTTGTTTTTGATTCTCTATCCGGATCCATCAAAGTCACCCGCGGTGTTCTGAAAGGGTCTGTACTCCGTGCTCTTCTTTTCCTCGCATTGATAAATGATCTACCGAACGTGTTAGTTCCGAAAACAAAACTGTTTGCAGACGACGCCAAAATTTGGAATACAGTAACAGAACCCGGGGGGCTTTCTAACACTGAGAAACATTTAACGCAGCTTATCAGTAATCTGAGAAGAATGACATTGAATTCTGTGGTTATGAATGCAAAGTCCTATCCCCACGCCACAAGAGAAGATTCTCGTATTTCGTCGGGAATCAGCAGCTACACATACTTCAAGTGAAAAGAACTTAGTTATGGTTGTTCAAGAGGACTTAGACTGCTCGATCAATTGCGCCAAGGCTTCGTCTGCTGTTGTTAAGACTGTCGGCTGGCTAAGGCGAGTCTTTGACCGGTTCGAATCAGCGCTGTTCCCACGTTTGCTATTCGACCGTACACAGAGTAAGCCATCCAACCTTAGAGCCCATGGTTGCAACGGGGTCGCAAGATGCTTGAGCGCCCACAAAGGATGGCCACTAAGATGGTCAAGGGAGGAGAGATTATGATTATTGGGACTAAATTCTGTTCAGTACCGACGAACTCGGGGCACAACCCAAACCATCCATGTCGGCCGCTGCTTATGTTATTGGACAATGTAAACCTTAGGGGACACCGTTTCGAGTTACTGATTCCAAGTTGTCTACTGAAATGCGGGCACCAATCTTTTGCAGTCAGTATATGCCGTACTTGGAACACCCATCTCAAATCGTTTTAGCACCAACTGTTGAATCTTTCAAACGGAGATTCAATAACACTCTAGTACACGTCACATTCCTACACAACTGAAAATAAATGCAAATTCGGCGAAGACTACATTATGTGTTATCTCCTACCTGAAAGTGTATTTGATTTTTTTCGCCGAGAAGGGATTCAACTGTGTAAATATCCTATGGGGATAAGAGAAGCATTAGCTTGTAAGTAATTCCCATAATAAAGCTTTGACTATGACACACATTTGCCATGAACGAAACTTATGTCACAATCCATCCTCCATGTAAATTGTATGTTTCAATGGAAAGGTCTTGTGCAGTATCTTTAATCAACTTCCGAAGAAAAAGAAGCCCAAAACAATGTGAGTGGAGTTGATTCGGAGCGCTCTCGAGGAATATTACATGTGCATCATAACGCGAATACCACAGAGGCAACGGGCTACAAGTGGCAATTTACACGATTGAAACGAGGGTCCTGCCGTCATGGAAACTGGAAAGCTGACAGCAACGAACGCATGGATTCAGTCGGAGCACTGTGATGAACTGAGCGACATGGTTGAAAGGAATTTTTGCCGGTCGTGCGTTTAAGAAAGTGGACTATGTGCGGAAGAGGGGGATTACGAAAAAGGTGTATGTATGAACCAGTTGAATCGCGTCATAGTTGTATCATTCTCTCGTCACAAGTTGCAACTTGACTGTGAAAATCATGTACCGGTCTCGCTGTGTACAGTAATCGATTCTACTCCGAATGTAAACTTGTTTACAAAACTCAAACAGCACCGTTTGTTGTGCTCATGATTCACAGGATACACTTGAGAAACCTCTCATTAACTTGCCTGTGTGGCCACTTGTGACTTCGAGTCATCACACCAGAGAACTCACAGAAACTTTCTAATAGAAAATAGAAAGTTTATCCAAAATCTCAGATGCAACATTTTGGCAAGAATCAATTTGGGCATACACTAGTATTTTCACTCAGAAGTGATTTGTCATTTTGTCCCCTAACAATTTTGCTGGTTAACTGCAACCAAATCACAAATGGGGGATGATTTAACAGTGATTGGCTGATTTCCTCTACATTCTATTTTGATATCAGAGGTACATGCGGTCGTTTATCTCAAGTTCTGATTTCTGGCGTGTCAACCGTGTACCAATTGATTGGAGCGGTGACCACAGCTCACGTGTGACCTTTGAACAGAAGGGGTGAAATTTTTTCAAACTGTTGATCGATTGAATCATAGTGAATAAGAACTGTATTTCTTTGCGAACAGCTTTTTGATCTAACTCAGTTCAAAATATATTTTAATCAGTTTGAGGTAAGATGGTCCAAAGTTAAATCATGCCATGAAAGAGATTGGTTCGTTCGCATTCTTACTCTTTTGGCAATTGTGTCTGTGCGTTGGGATGATCAGTCGATATAGTGGAAACGATCCCAACGTTCGTGCGACAACAGAAACTTGAGATACCCTCATTCCAAAACCGTACAATCGTTTTTTTCCAATGCACCTAGTTCGATAAACTGGGTTGAGATTTTGTGTTTTGAAAATTGTCATTTAAAACGACACATCATGTGGTAGTTTCAGTTCTCGGAGAATGCGCTCTTAATCCGTTGAATTCGAGACGGCCCGTAAATTCTGTAACCAATTGTTTTAGCAGATTTGACCAAAAACCATATCTACTGGTAAAGGAACCGTCATTCATTCATTCTAATTCAAAATAAAGCTATACGAGAACTATGAAGCGGTTAGGAGGGAAATGCAGCATTCGTCCAACTTGGAACTTGATGCTGTCTGTCCATCATCGTATCGTATTCATTGCCCCTCTGATTTATTTTTGGACTCCTTATCATTTCAGTGAACTCCGCCTGGATCCGGCTGGGGCCTCAGATGGCGCATCAACTGGAGGTGGTGGTGCTGCTAACGCTGGTATGGGTGGAACAGGTGGTGGTGGCGCTGGTAGTAGCAGCGGTGCTCCATCTGGTTACCTCGGACTGGATTCACTTTGCGGTGCCGGAATGCACCGGCCGAGTCCTGATCAGGCAATTCCTACGGGTGCCACCTGTGACCGATCCGAATCCCTTGAGTCCACGGATGGATTGCTTAGAAATTCCGGTCTTTACACGGATCAAAATCAAATGCATGTCGGAGATTGCCCTCCGACAAGCGGTACCGCTATTTGTGATAGACACGGTTCAAGTAAGCTTGATGACGGCCCTCTGTCGAATCGTGCAGATATTCTTTATTCAATTATAAAGTCCATTCAGCACAGTGTATCTATCTTCACGACCAGTAATGAGGAAGATAGACTTTATATGAATGGTGTTCTTTGAAACAGGGAGGTTTCAGTATCGGAATGGGACTGTTTTAGAGATTTCCATGATGCACAAAAAGTAGTCCGTTGATGATGTGAGCTATCATAACCTTTGGTTAAAGTCACTAGGAATCCTAAGTGGTTGGGGTCATCATAACTGTAGAGCGGAGGTTGAGTGTTCGAGTCCTAACACCGTCACTCAGTTTTCTTATTTTTGTATTTCTCAATACCTCCTTTAAGTAGCCGCTGCATTCTTCCGGAGAATAGACTGTAGAATAGCATGATTGATAAGTCAAGAGGTAACTACGGTAGGGCTAGAAAAAACTGGAGTGAGTGAGAACTTAACAAACTCCTAAGAAGTAAGCGGCCCATACCAAAAGATAAATATGCTTACTCTGGTGTCCGTAAACTCCAACAGATTAAACCAAGAACATGTTAAATGAAGATCCGTACCGGTAATAATAGGTCACAGAATACCTAGCAAACTAAGGACGCTAGTTGTGTTGTATTTGAGAAATTCATAAGTTTGGAGTGTTTATGAATTGGTGTGTGTGTGTGTGTGTATGTATGTATGTATGTATGTATGTATGTATATATGTATGTATGTATGCATGTATGCGTGTGTGTGTGTGTGACAATCAGTGGTGGCATTCCTCTGGCAAAAAGGGGATAGATTGCATCGAACGTGTACACAATTTGAACTGTTCCTGGAGTATTGAGAAGGTATTGAACCTGGCGATTCAGGAAAACTGCAATTAGTACTTCTTTCCTTGCCATGTCATGTCTTACAGGAAACTCACGAACGATTCCTTTGTTAAACAGATTCACGTTGTCAGATTGTGCAGGTATACTGTTCAATGCATATGATTGATCCACCATTTAATGGAACCGGCGAAAATCCACACTTATCGTTGCGGGCACTGTTCTCTTACTAATAAGGTTTTATGTATAACACAGTGAACCTTCCCTCCATGCTGTTGTTCTATTAAGCACGGGCATTGGAAAATGCATTCATTGAATTCACAGTTTGTATGATAGTGATGGATGGTTTTATTCGCGTATATTCTCCGTTTCGTCGTCTAAAACAAATGAAGCGTGGACTGTATGCCTGCGAGGCACCGGACTGCTGTTTCGACCTGGTTTGATTTCATCAGCAGTGCGAACCCATCGACCCAAACTGGGGATCGAACCCTGGACCTCACAAGTAGAAAGCTGTCCGGTGGTTGAGTGGGAAGCATGCTTGCGTTCTACCTGCGAAGTCCCGAATTCTATCCACCCGTCGGGTTGGTGAATTCGCTCTGTTGATGAAATCCAACCTGGTGGAAACAGCTGTCCAGTGCTTCCCAACTTTTCAGTTCACGCAGAACTCACAATTGCCTACTGTTCTTCTATGGAAGTGGACAACCTAAACATAAATAGTTAAAGTGGTGTACCATATTGTGCCCCTAATGGATTAGACGTAAATGATGAACTGTGCAACATCAACACCAAAGTAGGAAGAGCAGTCCCAGAATTCAGACTCTAGACCATGTGAGATTCTGTGCCCCAGGGACCGCCTTCTCACGTCAATTGTATTCTCGGTCATGTGTTCCAAACATCAGTATTCAAATCAATAAATATATCTGCCCAGTTGAATTCCACTAGACAACGGATATCTGGTGATGAGTGCATAAATCGAATTCAATAGTTTACTCGAACACTGCGTATCCGAACCAAACGACGTAAGTCTGGGAGTTTCTTCTCGTAGTTCCACCATTGACATCTCCTGATCCCTGGTATACAACTAGCGTAGCCAGGTGGCTAACCCACCATAGTGAACTACACATATCGGTTAGGTATTAGACTGCATTCTGTTTTTATTTACAACTGCGCGTCAATCAAGCCACCTTTAGTGAAATGTGGTCGTTTGACCTTTGAATAAGAGTTGCTAGACAAAATATGTTTGTCTCTGTCTCTTCCCGAATGACTACAAGTGAGAGATGCATCTACACCTTTTCCCTTCAAGCTTTAGCCAAAACCCGTAATCCTTTAGCGAAAACCCACAATCCTTTAGCCAAAATCCACATTCCTTTAGCTTTGACCTACACTCCTTTAGCCAAAACCCGCAATGCTTTAGCCACGACCCGCAGTCCTTTAG